CATCATCATCATCACCATCATCATCATCACCATCATCATCATCACCATCATCATCATGGCCACAACTCAAAGTCATGTGCCGAGCATGGAATCAGGCCAGAGACCAAAGAGAACCACTGATCCGTCCTAGAATGTGGACGCTGGCTAATATTTTCCAAGTTGTACCAAAAATGATTTTTCGGGTATCTATAAGTAGGGATACTACACAGGCGTATCATGATGATGAGGAGGAGGCGAAGGAGGAGGAGGAAGAGGGAGAGGCCAATTTTGATACCAATAACCCAGACCTTCTCTACCCACTAAAACTGTACTGTACACACGGACAATCCGCTCCTTTGTTTTTCTTTTCTGTGCCAATTGTGAAATGCCAAATACACTCGCTATGCTACCAAAATTTCAAACCCTTTTTCCACAACCCAGGAAAGCCATCCTATCGCCCTCCCTTTTCGGCGTCGAGGGTGCCTCGCCGGGCCTGTCGAGCGGCCAGTTCCTCTTGCCTCACCCGTTCCTGTTCAGCGAGACCCGTCCTCGCCTTCTCGTGTTCTTTGCTCAATTTCTTCTTCGTGATGAACAAGCTGATGAAGATGCCAAACGCCGAGAATGCAGTGTAAAAGATCCACATCTTCTGCAAGCTCGACGTGTATGCGATATCGACCGCCCTCCTCTGATTCGGTTGTAGGGCTTTGATCAGATTCGCCGTTGCGCTGAAACCTGAAGCGGTCAAACGCTTGGCCATCTGCATCGAGATGCCCTGGTTCACGAGATAACTCTGCTTCTTCGACAACTCGTTGTCAAAGACGACACCACCCAGCACAACGGAGATGGAAGTGGACAGATTCCGGACGAAACCAAAGGTAGCGGTGGCCACGGCAATGTCATGTCCCTTGACGTGACTCTGCAGAGCAATCAGCGGGCTTTGGAAATTCGGCCCAACTCCAATGCCAGCTATTATCTGGAAAATGATGATCTTTGCCCAATTAGCCGTGGGATCTAGATCGATAAAGAGGCCATAGCCGATGGTCATCATAACAAGTCCGAACCAGATAGGTTCTCGGTAATGCCCTGTCTTCTTGATGAAGATCCCTGCAGTGGCCGACATGAACGACAAGCTTAGCACCAGGGCAAACAGGTAAACACCGCTGAGAATTGGTGTGGCACCAAGGACAGATTGAAAGTAGATGGGCAGGTAGTAGCTCGACGCAATGAAGACGAAGCCATGAATGAAGCAGACTCCCAGGGAGGCGAGGTTCGACGAATCCTTAAAGAGTCGGAGAGGAATAACCGGATATTTGGCGAACCTCCACTCATTGATAAAGAAGAGAACGACCGTGAAGACTCCAAAGATGATCAGACAAAGGGTGTAAGCGCTGTCCCAAGGATGGCCGACTCCACCGGATTCCATGCCGAAGAGGAACATGACCACTCCTCCGACAATGGTGAGAACGCCAATCCAATCGACGGCTTTGATACCGTCCCAGAATGGCGTCTTTGGCGTTTCGAGTTTGAGGAAGAAGGTGAGAAGAATCAACGAGAGACCGTCAAGTGGCAGATTGATGTAGAAGCACCATCTCCAGGAGACGCCTTGCGTAAAAGCACCTCCAATAACAGGTCCAACGCCCGAGGCGATGGCCCAGACCATGCCTACTATGCCATAGTACTTGGGTCGATCTCTCATGCTGAACAAGTCTGCGATGCAGATATTGACCAAAATGACCAGTCCACCACCTCCTATGCCTTGAATGACCCGGCCTCCGATGAGAAGTCCGATAGAATTACTGACACCCGCAATAAGACTGCCAGCCATGAATATAATGTTGGCAAAAAGAATCATAGGCTTTCGACCCCATATGTCAGAAAGCTTACCCCACAGAGGAACACTGGCCGCGTTCGCCAGGAGGTACGCACTACCAACCCAGGTGTAGCCGGATGTTGAGGCATGAAAGTGCTCGGCTATGGTTGGTAGAGCAGTAGTGATGATGGTGACGTCCAGGGCAGCTAGGAAAAGTGCCATGCAAAGCGAGAACATAATGACAAGAATTCTCGACTTGGAAAAAGAATCTGCTCTGGATTCTTGCCGCGTCAGTTCGGTTTTCGAGGGTTGCTCGGCCTGATCATCGTCGGGGGAACTTGTGCCGGCCGCATTTGCATTCTGAGTCGACTTCTCGGTATTGGCAAGACTGTCGGTGGGACTTGAAGGAGCCTCTACAGAGTAGAAGCCTTCATTTGTTGCAGCTCGGGGGTTGGGAGAACCAGCACCTTTTTCCTGGCGGCCGTTGTCCCCCGCCACGGGCGTGTCTTCGGTCATATCGGCTTGGTCCTTCATGTTTGTGTATGTACGATGAAATTGAGGCTCCAGTGTGCTGAATGCGTCGTAATATGGGCTTTGGGTGGGTTTCCTTTTATAAACACAATGAACCCTGATCCCAAAACCCGGATGACGAGTTGTTGTTTAGTGTCTGTGCAAAAGTAGAAGTATATGCGAAGACGGAAAGAGACTCGGACTCGGACTCGGCTTGAATCTGAACCGACCAAGGTAAAGTGAGAGATTGTCCGAGATTCTTCAAAGGGTCTGCCAGCCAATTCAGTGAACGAGACTTTCCCATGGAAGAATAAGAAGAGTGATCACAATGTCAAAGGAAGAGGTGCCTGTGGAAAGAAGAATGCATTGGTGAGAAAGAAAGACATTTAAAAACTACCAGTTGTAGTCAATGGTGTTTGTACGGAATGATTGTGTTCGGGTTTAAAATATGAGATGGAGAAAGCGAATCTGGTACGAGCGAGGATGAGTGTTCACCAGGTCAAAGGTGGTAGTCATAGAAGTCATGGGCAGCCATACGAGTACGAGCAGTGGCGATGAGAAGGTGCGAATCAATGACGCGCTCAAAACAGGCACTGAACATTTCGTCGTCGTACATACTCGGCATCGTTCTCGTACAGAGTGCAAGGACAACAAATATCTCTCGGCTCCATCCTGAAGGCTCGGCGCCGTACTCGTACTCGTTACAGTATGGCAAGAAGTGTCTATACGAATACGAGGTTGATGTAGCCCACTGCACCTTTGGCAGCCTTGTTACAATATGAGGGAACACCTCCCCAAGTCTTGCATGAATACGAGTACGAGTGTGACAAGTGCAACGATGTTAGGCATCCATAAAACGCAGTATATCTACGGAGCATCTTGTATAATGCTTCTCTGGGCACCAAGGAATGCCGAGTACTCAGTCTTTACTCGGGCTCTTTTGTTTCCGACCAAAACAAGCGACATCTCAGGTACCTGTTACGCCGTATGAAAAACCACAAATCACTGAGGCATCCGAACAGTAAGTTTATCATATCCGTCGTGCTGTTCAATCTCAACTTTGTATTTTACGTGAATATCGAACAATCAGTATTGCGCAACATGTGTACAAAAGCAGTGCGAAAGCAGACGCTATCAATAATACATAATCACCCATATCGTGTCTGTGAACTCGCAAGAAACCATCGACTTCGGATTCCAAGACCAAATTGCCGTACTGGACAGCATGCCCACCATCGAAACAAAACACCATTCGATTCAAGGATCCAATGGCCCGCCGCACTTCAGGCAACACAACTTCATGTGCCACCTCTTGGATGCGAAATCCAAAGGTGCCTCCTCACAGCTTGATGTTGGAACAAGTTGTGTCACACTCGCATCATGTGTACCGAGCGCATGGTAGAACTTGGATTTGCGGATGTCTCCTTGCAGTTTGCCTGTCCAGGGATGCTTACCTGTAGGCAATCCTTTCCGTTTCTTGTTCCCCTTCCGGACGACGGTATTGTCTGAGGAACTCCAACTCTTCCCTCCATCTTTACCGAAGGCTCGGTGTGCAAGATTGCTTACAGTCTCGCCAACTTTTTGGGCCAGACCTTTGCCTTCATCGCCATCTTCCCTTTCGTGTGTCAGTGTGCCCTTTTTGAACTTCGCCCAAGCCGTCTCTTCCAGAGCCCTAATCAGGCATGCATGATGATTCCACAAGCCGCAGCCAACCTTCTGGCATTGATACATCTCCGTATTAGGGTCATCATAACCACCGCATATACAAAATCGTCTTAGTCTGCTCAAGGCGTTGTCGCCCGTTTTTTTCATGTCGTACGTCTGCCTCCAGTATCGCTCCAACAGCAGCTTTTTATTGGAGTCGTCATTCTCATTCCAGTGGCTGATCTCGACCAGCGAAGAGATGGTTTGTGCCTCGACAAGGTCCACATGATTGCTCAGGACCAATTCATTCTTTCCATGATACGGCTTGCGACCCATGGGAAGCTCTTCCGGCCAGTAAAACCAGAACACTCGTACATAGACTTGTTCTGTGTTTCCGGCGCGAAATTCCGCTATGAGGCCAACCCAGAAGTGCTCCTTGTCATATTGCAACCTCTCATCCTCGGTAGCCTCAGCGGGTGGTGGTGGCGGAACAGGCATTCTTTGGCTGATGTATACGACTTGACCAGACGAGTACAACGCGTGCGTCGGTTCTCGAACTGTAGAGGGAGAGATCGAAGATCAATAATCTGTAAAGTGGAAGGGCAACCAAACTTACATTTTGCATTTCTGTACTGGTGCAGCTTTCTGTACTGTTCCCCAGGCCTTATGGCATAGTTCATGGTGAGGTTGGGAGCCAATGAGGGCGCATCTGTCCCAAAGTATACATCTTCTGGTATCCGAGACTTTGATCGCTTTTTTTTCACTAGGTTATTTTCAACTGTGAACTCTGGGGGAATGCTCTGGGCCTCAATAGTCTCATCAAAGTCTTCCTCAATCCTAGAAGTCGAGTCGGTGTCGGATTCATCTTCCATTTCGCTAGCATTGCGTTTTCTTCCGGTCATGGAGGGCGAATGGCGCAAGTCTCCGTTGTCAGACTCGCGCGGTGTTAGGGGGAGGGTGGGCTGGTATGGTTCCAAGGTTGACGTTGTTGACGCCATCGACGACAATAGTCTGGGAGCGAAGGGCGCAGGCAACGTCGTTCGACGTCAAGGGCGATGCGTCCCGGAAAGTAGGGATGCAAAGTGAAGCTTGAACCAAGGAACACGCGACGCGACAAACTCTCGCGGGCGTCAATGGCGGGATCGATGGAGATGAAGTCGTATGAGGGCGCGTCGTCACCGTGTTTTCGGTAGATCGTGTCGAAGACGACAGCAAGACAGTTATGACTCGGGAAAAACCGTAGTCAGTGATGGCGATGCAGAAGAACAAGGGCAATGAAGTTCAAAAAGTGATGGCAGGCGGTGAAATTGACGTCCCAACAGCTTCTTGACGGAGTAATAAGAGTGTGATGAGGTGTTTTGCGCTTCTCGGGCGCTATTTGTGTGGCTGACACACGTTGTAACTCGCCGCAATCCGTCACGGGGGTACGGGTAAATTGGCAACAGCTGATAGGTTTGTGACAACTGTCAGTTGGGGACAGTTCCCTGTCCAGATGCCTGGCGGGTTTATATTAGCGAGCAGCCCTGCCTCTCCAGGTGCTAACCAGGCACTTGCTCCTACTGCCAGCCTGGCTACGGAGTACCATCCCTATCAAGCGACCGCCGGGAATTCCCTGGACACCCGTGATTATGGATGATAGAGCAAAGAGGCCGCTGTTGGGGACCGAAGTTCAAAGTTCTCGGTAGGGGCCGGATCGCCCAGGCTCAAACTACGGGGGCATCTCACTCTGTACAGTACCTTTAGCTATACTGTATGTGGTATCCAGCTTCAATGTAACCACAGTGCTACACCTCTGATACAACGATTGTAACGGCATGCCACTTTGTCATCGAATGGTCCATCACAGTTGGACGTGGATCAAGATGCTGAATCATCAATAATTGATAAGTGCGACCCATGGGGTGAGAGCCCTTCTCGGAACCGAGTGTTGTTGTCCGCAAATCACGATAAAAACAACGACGAGATCTTGTATGTCCCATTCAAAACGGAACCACTTGAGAATAAGCCTTGAACGGAGTATCACTCGAGTCCATACTCAAACCATAGCAATAATTCAAATTATTAAGACTTCTGTGGGTATCATCATCTATCTATTAAGCCTTCGTCCATCATTATGCTTTAAACGCGCCACGACCCTTTGCTCAGCGGCATCATTTCTTGAACAGATGCTTGAGTTTATCTGCTAGACCCTCGTGCTTCTTCTCGCTAACATGTTTCTCGTTGCCGGCTCCTCCACGTCCGACATGGTGGGATTCTTCCTTGCTGACTCGGACGGCCGTCTCGGGCACGACATCGGCGTCGTGGGGTCCCTCTCCAGTCGCAACGCCATCAGTCTCGATGTTACCGGCGCCCCCTCTTCCGGCAGAGTATGGTCCATCGCCTTGATCACCCACGGGTCCTTCGCGGACGATCTCGCCGTCTGTGTAAGCCGTTTCGTCTGGACCGATATTCGCGGCGCCTATAGGAACAAGATATGTTAGGGCCGATGAAGAATTAGGGCTGGGATTGAGAGCCTTACCGCCGCGACCATGCGATACGTTGGACATTTTGTGTGGTTTGGTTTCTGTTCAAGTGTCAGTCAAGCCAAGCGGTTGCCGGTCGCCAAAAGCGACGATAACACTCACGCCGGGTGTCTTATGCTGGGGCTGCGGGATTCAAAATGTACGATTTGACTGGGTATATGTCAGGCAGAACTCGGGGGGGAGTCGTAGATATATAAGCAGTAAGATCCCGGTTAGCTAGGCAAGGCAGAGAAAAGAGCGATTTCGGGTCCTCATCCTGATATGAGATTTCAATACCAGGCCAACGCCATGACTAGAAACAGTGACAAAAGCAATCGATGGATTGATTGCATGTGGCATGATAGGCGTAGCGCTTTGGCGGCCGGGAAGGACGTGTGATTAGTCCCAGTCCAATCCATACGTCAGCCAAGGCCTGCTAGAGGGTGGAAAGCACAGCCTGGTGTTCGTGATCAGAGGTACTTCCCGCGATTTTTATCAGCGGCCAATGGCATGATTATTAGGGGAAATCTTTGCGGAGCACGAGGACGAAGAGCAACATCGACTAGGAAGGTATCGTAGCTTACGAATAGTGCCAATTGGGTGACACATGTGCAGCAAAAGGAACACGTCCTAACCTCATACGTACACTTCATCACCCCGTGAGGTCGTTGAATTCGAACCCAGTTGACTAGCTACCTCTGCCAAAGTATCGCATGTACAAATATCATCTCTGGCCGCCCAAACTTGGCTTCGGGACCACAGCGCGTGTACCAAGAGTTCAGGCCTTGGCCGTCTTCTTCTCGTCGCCGCCACCAGTGGTGGGCAATCCCATAAAGATCTTGAACGAATCGTAGATCATCCATTGCAAGCCAGTCAAGGTACCGATCATCACCTACGAAGATCGTCAGTTTTTTGGAATATGCGTCAAAAGGGGGAGATCACTTACAATTCTCACTGGAAGACCATTCCACAAACCGGAGAATCCAATCTTGGAGTAGATACGACTCATGGCACCGCCAAAGCTTTCACCAGGAGCACGATCGGCGTTCAATTTGCTCACCATGACGTCGGCAGGATGGGAAACGATAGCACAAAGAATACCAGCAAGATAACCACCGGTAAAAGCCACAAGAGTCTGGGCTCCTTTATTGTAGTCGGACTTTTGGCCAGGAAGATAATTGTAAATAGCGGTCACAATGTTCTCAAAAGACGCGAATTTCATCATGGTGTATGGGATCTGGCGACCCCAGAGAGGGTACAAACCCTTGTACAGACTAGAAAATGTGAGCACCGTCTATTCGAGTTTTAGAGAGGACACGTACCCGCCGACGCCTTCTTTGCCAGTAATGGACGAGATACCTTGCATGGTGCCAGTGAAAGTGGGTGGGATAGTGGTTTGCATTCGGACTTTGACAGCCTCGAAAGGACAGAGACCTACATCGGCGATGAATTCTGCAGAGGCAGACGCCGACAAGTAGAGGATGGTCTTGTACTTGGATGCAGCCTCCTCTCCGGCCAACTCGCTATACAAGTGCTTGAAGTATTCGTAGAATCCATACTTGCCAGCACCCTGGACGGAGTATCCCACGAATGTTGGGCCCCAACCGGTAAAGATACCGCGAATGCCCTCGGCCTTGCCAATCTTTCTCCATGCCTCGAAATTACCTTTGTAGAGGTTGGGATCGACTTGGCGTCGACATTTGACCAAATCCAGAGGTGTGACTGCGGTGTGAGTGGTGCCCTAACAAGTCAAGTTCAGTTAACAGGAGCCCGCGTCAACAGAGTCAATCCCAGACGTACACATGCTAAGATGCCTCCCACGGTGCAAGCAGCATAGTACTTGGCCGAATAGAGCTCGATACCTCCCACTTTTGCTTGAGCCTTTTGACTCGCCTCAGTGTACTTCTCTTGAGCTGCGTGACCGACCTCCTTCGCAGTATCGGCAGCACTCCAAGATTGGAAGAGGGGACGCTTCTGAGGGTGTTCGCTTAGCTTGGCGGAAGGCTCCGCTGTAGGCTTGTAATATGGTGAAGTCGGGCAAAAGGCCTGGTAGACGGCCTGCGAGCTTGGGAAGAGCCCTACCATGATGCTAGGTACTCATCAGCTTATCTCTGGGCACCAGGGTAACCATGCTGAGGACGTTGCCCAGACTGAGTGAGAAGGCGGAAGTACCGGATCTATTTACCTTGGAGTCGTTATGGATGACTTTAAGCAATAGCTGATGGGCACAGGCAGGATGGATGGAATAGCGAGGGTCGATGATGATAGAAAGAGGTGAGGTCGAAGCTGGAGGTCCAGGGTTTGCAAGATACCACAGCTGCAACCCAACACCAGCACAAACCATCGATGACATACGATACGGTCTTTCTACTAAACTCCGGCTCCGGCAGAAGTACCATTACGAGTACTGGTACGATTAGCAGGATGAGGGGGGCCGTTGCCCAGAGCCTAAATCTTAGGTGCAAATAATAGGCGAGGAAGCAGCTGAGCTCCAGCAGATGCATGATTGGGCAGGGGAGGCGCATGTGAACTTCACTTTTCTCAACCCACATACCTAACTTTTTGGTCCTGGTATTCATCACTGCACGGAGTACTGTACAATTTCCTCCGCGTATGATTTTGAAGTTCAGATACATTCTTCTTACAGGGGTCGACCAGAATGACACACGTTCTCGAACACGGAGTCCCTCTAGGGAAAACCATCGTCCCCAATTCTGAAGGCCTTCCTCCGGAAGAAGACGAGCAAGCTGCCATTCTGTCCAATTGGGCCGATAAATACAGAGGCTCAACAGTTGCTGATCTCGATCTTCCTCCTGCACTATCTACCTCGCCGAGTACTTCTCTCTCTTCAGCCATGTTGTCTGCGTCTTCTCACGACTACTCCCATCTGACGGTGGTTTCTGATGACACTCGCTCATTGCTTGGGTACTTGTCGATGGCTCATCTCAAGGAGCTCTTCGAATCCGGCACGTTGCATCCATCAGATCCTGTTGAGAAGGCTATGGTCAAGTTCAAGAGAGGGAGGCGGAAGTACAGGACCATTAGCCTAGAGACTGAGCTCTTTGAATTGGAAGGCTTCTTCGAGAATGTCGGACCACTAGCAACTGGTGAACCCCAGGATTTCGCGGTTGTCACTGACGCTGGCCGTAAATTCGTCCTGGGCGTTGTCACTCGAGACGATCTGGAGATGTTTGTGAAGAAAAGACCAGCTTGAGGACTCGCACCTCATCATGACCAACACCAACCTCATACGATAAACGGTGTTCGACCGCCACGGCCGCCGCCGAACCTATGAGAAGTGGTGTCAACGATGTTGATTTCATCGCCTTGCAGCTTGTCGAGAAGCGCGAATGAACGCCTGGTTGAAGTGAAGAGCACCTTCAGAGTTCTCGAGCTTTCTCCTGCAAATCTTCGCAGAATCGTAACTACTTCTCCGACTTCATCTTCTTTGTCCCTCTCTATCTCATCCAAGCTGTCAATGATGATCAGAATCAATTTGGGCGCAAGGCCAAGGACTTGTCCAAACAGATCTCTAGCAGAGTCCCAGCTGGCCAAAGTGGCATCGAGAGTATCGAGATCAAAAGCAACTTCTATCTTCTTTTCAGGCTGCACCAGACTTAGGATTTGATGAGTCAAGGAGTAGAGCAGACCTAACAGGGGATTATGGCTATCACTGCTGCTCTGATTGTCCTCGTGGCCCATGCAAGGTCTACAGAAATATGAGATGGTCGGGGCTTTCATCTCATCTGCTGACAAGACTAGCCGGTCAGCTACTAGTGATATTTCTGGGGTCGTCCCTGCAATGATCGGGTATTCCAAATAAAGCAGGGTTGAATTGGGTGATCGAAGAAACAATTCTAGGGCGAGGGCGACTCTTTCGTGCGTGGCTGTTGGCAGGATTTCTTTTGGCTCCTGCAGTGTACGAGCGCCTTCGTAGAAATAGTCAAGCAACTTTTCCACCTGTTTCTGGACTTCCACCACCGTTCGATTGGTCGCAACATCACTACCGTTAATGGATTCGACAAGTGAGTTCCCATGATTGATTGCAGGAAGATATTGTTGCATGTACGCGAGTTGCACCCGAGTTCGATCGACCGTGTGCTCGTACGTGATCTGCTTCAGGTTCTCACGGAGGAAATCCCATCCTGAAGCAGCCACTTTATCAAACGACGCCTCTGTGTGTTGCATACTATGGATCACCGCCGCCAGTACCCATCGCCGAGTTTCTTCATGCTCCAGTCTGCTTTGCTCCTCGAGCCGTTGAGCATGCGCAGCATATTGATCCATCAAAACCTGGGCAATTCTTCCCATCTCGCCAGACATGCCAGCTCTCTGGTCCTGTAGGTCCATGCGAAGCTCCTTGACTGTCATTCTAGTGACCCTTCCCTCAGCTGCCGCAGCGAGAAGAGTAGTACGCCCAACGACTGTCGATAGTCGCTGCACATTTTCAAGCCCCGATTTGAATTGCTTGTCGAAGCCTTGGTGCATCGAATTGCGGAACTTCCGAAGACTGTTCGAACTGTACCACGTCGCAACGTCTCCTAGCAATAAGAAGACAGCCGAGTAAAACTTGGCTACTGCTTGTTGAACAGCTGGACCTCTGAACAGTCGTGATTCCTGCTCGACCTGGGCTGCAGCTTCGTTGACCACCTCCATAACGTTGGCCAGTTCCTCAACGGTCTCGGTATGCTGAACAGATGCGTTGACAAGACATGTTGCTGCCCAGCAGATGATTGACGTATATTCGTTGGCGGATGGCACCAGGCTGAACAGGTTGGAATGGACCTTGAATTTACCCATGATTTTATGGAACACCGCTTGTGCTTTCCCACCCCCCAGCCTCTTCTTGGATTCCCAATTTTTTCTTGCTACCTCCACAGCTGTCTGAAAGTCTCGAAACGTCCATACTTTGTTCGGATCATATGGGGACAATTGCGAGAGAATCTTAGCTAGTTCAGACTTCTCGTTGCCAAGAAATTGGACTTCAAGGTGAGGGCTCCCAGTGCCGGCATAATAGCCTTGCAGGTCAAGTTTCTCTTGTTCTCGTCGATGATGAGCATCATCGGCTAACGAGCTTTCCAGAGTGGTTTGATCGCCTGTCTCAGCGAGTTGTAGAGCGAAGCTCTGGAGAGTCTCCGCCGAGACTACTACTGCCAATGCTGGATTTGCCGGCCCGTTCATGGCCATATTTAATTTCCAATTCTAGTCAGACTACGGGTCGCATCAAAGTCGAGCTGTTGTCGTAACAAGTCTTCTAGGTGCTCCTGGATATGTTCAAAGCAGGCTTTGGCAGAGCTTGTTACAATAGCCCCAAGGGCGCGTTGGAGTCATCCGGACTACACATGTGGGAACTTTGTCACCTCAGTAGACGATTCAAAGAGAACACTTAGGCTCCAGAGTCTGCATGATCCTTGCTGGCTGCTGGGGATCTCGATCATCAGGCGGCGAATAGGAAACCCCATCACCACCGCAATGTAGCCGAGACAACAGCCCAAGAGCTAGGCTCGGGCAACAGATCTGCCCGCCCGTGGCAGGTCTGCCAACGAAGTTATGGGATAGATGGGTGGCCTGAGTCAAGTGATCCACACATGCATATCACAGCTGAACGACCTCACTCAATAAGTGTAATGCTGATTTGGAACGGGCGAGAATCTACAGTATATAATAGCCGCCAAATCACAGAGTCGGGGCCGGCGGTTGCTATTAGTGAACGTTGAAGAATATATACCAATGGAGCCTGGAGTTGTGAACAAAGATGCTGCTTCCTCGAACAACGACTCTCTCACGGAACTTGCAAAAGAAATGGCAAATACGGCGCCTTCACCATCGAAAAGAGATCATCTCGGCACCACCCAGGCGTGTGACACTCACAAAAAGCGAAGACAACGACAATTCAAAAAAGCTCTTGCGGCAATGATGGAAAGTTTAGAGACGATGTTCGACTCTCACTCAGATGCAGATGTCTCTGACCTCGACGAGGCAGGAGAAGAAGACCCAATTCACTGTTTTGACCTGGAATACTCGCCGTCGCATATCAATAAACTACCCTCGTCCAATGAGATGTCACCCCACCGAGGAAGGTCCTCTCCTCAAGGCAACGCTCGCCGCAGGACTATCGAAGACGACACTGAATCACGTCCGCTGAGACCCGTCGAACGGAAGGGTACGCTACTCGAAGAGGTGAAATCTGGTCCGATTGGCTATGAGACCGAATTTTATGAATACACGAGATCTCCAGATGGGGATGCTGAAGAACCCAATATTGTAGAGACCATGGTTACTCAAGCTCCGGCCAAAATCAGCAGGACCGGTGCTCGGTCTGGTACAGACCCAGGCTATCAACGAGGCTACATATTCAAGGTCGTCCATATGTATGCTGTGCCCTTGGCAAAAGAGATTGAACGGCAAGTTCGGCGCCAGTACTCACCTCCCCGCGGATATTTGTCGCCACCTCCTAAACCCAGACTAAGAAGCCGGAGTAGATCTGCGACGAGGTATGCAATCGTCTCACGCTCGATGGGTCGGAACTACTCACGAGGAAGACCACAACGACCCTTCCCCGTCACGGCCAGTGTGGGCAACTATTTGGTCGTTTATTCCGACGTTATCATATCGGCTATCAGGAAATCCGTGCAGTCCTACCCAGGACTGTCGCGTACGTTCGATTACATGATCATTCCAGCACCGTATTCGCTCATCATCCATTATAGACGAGAATTGGAGGAATTCAATGATAAGCTACCAGATGAAAAAGCTTCTACTTCAGTACACGAAGGTCCAACTTTGCATACCGATGCGAATCATGATAGCGACTTTGGCGATGGAGAATGCAACACCAACACTGTGGAGGTTCTGGAACTTGAGCGTAAAAAGCACATTCCAGAGCTTCTGAACTACGTTTTTACGTCCGAGTTAAAGGCTCAAATCGATGCCGAGATGTCCTTGCGGCAAAAGCCCGTGCCGATGTGCACATATGCAATGGTATGGCTATTGTTCAAGCCTGGTACTACGGTCTACGCCTGGGGTGGTGGAGGCCTCGACTCTGCGTAAGACTTTCTTGTCCTTCTTTTCCATTACAACGACCCTGGAACATCCGGCACACAGATCATTGGAAATTTATCTTCCACATTACAACCGTTCAGAGTCGCTCACTATCACCATCCCTTTGATTCTGCAGACACGCATGTACTTTATGCCCATAGGCGTTTCCAACTGACACGATCTTTAGATATATTGTGGATTGGTACGAGCTTGAAGGTCTCTATGCAAAAGACAGCCGAACGCGTCACCCCGGCGGGCTAGCAGAGGCTGTCCATCCGCCCGTCATAACACGAGGGGAGTCTGCAGAGTTCAATCCCGTCCCGAAATCGGTCATCATCAAGCTCCACTACCTCGAGTTCGACGGCGAACACGTAGGGCGGAGGCCTCGAACCATCACAATTTCTCCCTTTGAGGGAGAGAAGGAGATATTCATGTTGCCGGTATATCCCGTTGAATTTGCTAGGAGTCCAAATCTCCGAGAGAGTCTTATTGAAAGAGGAAGAAAGTACATCAGGCTTTGTCAGCCAAGCTACATGGTCTATCAAGGCGACACTATTGCCACGGCAGCTTCCCAAAGTCGAAAGGTTAGTCATCAAACAGATCAAACAGAAAATTCCATCAAAGCCTCCTGAGCGAAATCGCGGGGTGGTGGTGAAAGTAGCATGAGGCTGCTTCCTCAAAAGGTCGTGTGATGATGGATCGGTGTGCGCTAGACAGCTAATGAACATTTTGTGTGTTTTAGGTAAACGGGAGAGTCATGATTGACTCCCAGACGTTCTACACCGACGGGGAATTGGCAGACAAAGTCCTCCGACTCAAAGTACCGACGGAAGATGGCATCATCGTGTCGGAAACTTCGTCTGGAAGTGAGAGTAGTGCACTCTCGGATTCGCGTTACCACAACCGCCGCAAACGTAGGAATTACAGGAGACGCATCAGAGACTACAAGAAGATGCCGAATCGCGTTAGAGGAATGGCCGAGTATGATCTTGTTCGGCCTGGAAAGACGCAGTTCAAAGAGGAACATTTAATGTTGTTTCCTTCAAGGGTTTGGGGCTTCGTGTTGAGGGAGAGACGATGGTGTACGTTTTCGTGATGACCCTTCCCCTTGAATTGAATTTTGGCCCTTTTACTGACACAAGAGCGTGTTAGATCTTCTCAATATTGAGAATCTAAAGAATCCTGTCTTTCAGGAGAACATAATTGACGATTTGGTCCTCAAGGACGAGGCCAAGAACCTGATTCAAGCCTTGTCAAACACACATACGAGTACGGCCGCCGAGGGCGAGCCCAAGGATGATGATGACGGCGACACCACCACCACCACCACCACCACCACCAACAACAACAACAACAACTCGTTTGGTCATTTCTCTGCAGACATTATACGAAACAAGGGGGAAGGACGCATCTTTTTGCTACATGGGAAACCTGGTGTTGGTGAGTGTGGACCGACCCTCTACTGCTAATTAGTATCTCGTTTGTGCCCCGGGTGGAGGCGTGCGAGAGACATCATACGAGCTGGCCGCCCCGGACTGACCAGTGTGTGTGCGTGTGTGTTATACAGGCAAAACGTCGACCGCCGAGTGCGTGGCAGAATCCGCCGGGGTCCCGCTGTTGGCGATAACGTGTGGCGACCTGGGCATCGAGCCGAACGAGGTCGAGGGCGCCCTGATGAAGTGGTTCAAGCTCGCGACCCAGTGGAAGGCGGTCCTGCTGCTCGACGAGGCCGACGTCTACCTCGAGTCCCGCATGAGCGGCGACCTCGCCCGCAACAGCCTGGTGTCGATCTTCCTCCGGGCGCTCGAGTACTACCAAGGGGTGCTGTTCCTGACGACGAACCGGGTGGGCACCTTTGACGAGGCCATGCTCAGCCGCATCCACGTCGTCCTCCACTACGCCGACTTTGACGACTCGGAGCGGCAGCGCATCTGGACCGTGAGCTTCCGGAAGCTGGGCGAGGAGAGGCCCGACGTCAAGGTCGGGCCGGGGCTCGTGGACTACGCCCTCGAGAACCGGCGGGTGCTCGACCTCCGGTGGAACGGCCGGGAGATCCGCAACGCCTTCAACACCACCGTGGCCCTGGCCGAGTTCGACGCCGAGAGGAGGCGTCGCTCCGCCGGCGGCAAGGAGACCCGGGTCGTCCTGGAGCGCTCCCACCTGGTCCAGGTCGTCAAGATGAGCGAGGAATTCAAGAGGTACATGAAGAGCACCCGCGGCCTGGACGAGAGTCAGTTGGCAAAGGCCATGAAGCTGAGGGACGACGCCGCCTTGCAGAAGGTGATGCAGGTTGCCAACAGGTAGACGAGACCGACAGACCAACAAAGATCCGTGTCAAACACACGCTTGATCATTCTCCATGGCAACATTGATCTTTCACCCTCCGAGCTAATCAGCAGGCAGTCTTCTCGAAATGAAATGACGAGAATAAAAGTGAAACGGAGAGAAATGTTCTTGCTGATTTACGGAGTAGTAAAGTTGTGAGTTACTAGTAGTATTATGGCGTGGATCTACCAGCCTATACAGATATCTACAAAGTACCCGAGGTCGAGGTACATGTTAACAGTCTACCACGAATTACTACTACTACTACTACTACTACTACTACTACTACTACTACTACTACTACTACTACTACTACTACTACTACTACTACTACTACTACTACTAC